TTTTTTTTTATGGCGATTTCGTTTTTCGCGATTATCTCGGAAACTATGGGAGATAGAGCCTTAAAACCTATCCCATTCGATTCCTGAGGAAATTTGGGTTCCCTGCAGGCAAATGGACGGCTCAGAATTGCGTTTTTCCACTTCCTACACCCTATACAAGATGAATTAAATTAATTTTTTTTGGCATTTTCGTTTTTCGCGATTATCTCGGAAACTATGAGAGATAGAGCCTTAAAACCTATTCCATTCGATTCCTGAGGAAATTTGGGTTCCGTATAGGCAGATGGACGGCTCAGAATTGCGTTTTTCCACTTCCTACACCCTATACAAGATGAATTAAATTAATTTTTTTTGGCATTTTCGTTTTTCGCGATTATCTCGGAAACTATGAGAGATAGAGCCTTAAAACCTATTCCATTCGATTCCTGAGGAAATTTGGGTTCCGTATAGGCAGATGGACGGCTCAGAATTGCGTTTTTCCACTTCCTACACCCTATACAAGATGAATTAAATTAATTTTTTTTGGCATTTTCGTTTTTCGCGATTATCTCGGAAACTATGAGAGATAGAGCCTTAAAACCTATTCCATTCGATTCCTGAGGAAATTTGGGTTCCGTATAGGCAGATGGACGGCTCAGAATTGCGTTTTTCCACTTCCTACACCCTATACAAGATGAATTAAATTAATTTTTTTTGGCATTTTCGTTTTTCGCGATTATCTCGGAAACTATGAGAGATAGAGCCTTAAAACCTATTCCATTCGATTCCTGAGGAAATTTGGGTTCCGTATAGGCAGATGGACGGCTCAGAATTGCGTTTTTCCACTTCCTACACCCTATACAAGATGAATTAAATTAATTTTTTTTGGCATTTTCGTTTTTCGCGATTATCTCGGAAACTATGAGAGATAGAGCCTTAAAACCTATTCCATTCGATTCCTGAGGAAATTTGGGTTCCGTATAGGCAGATGGACGGCTCAGAATTGCGTTTTTCCACTTCCTACACCCTATACAAGATGAATTAAATTAATTTTTTTTGGCATTTTCGTTTTTCGCGATTATCTCGGAAACTATGAGAGATAGAGCCTTAAAACCTATCCCATTTATTCCTGAGGAAATTTGGGTTCTCTGTAGGCAGATGAACGGCTCAGAATTACGTTTTTCCACTTCCTACATCCTATACAAGATGAATTCAATTAATTTTGTTTGGCGATTTCGTTTTTCGCGATTATCTCGGAAACTATGAGAGATAGAGCCTTAAAACCTATTCCATTCAATTCCTGAGGAAATTTGTCACGTAAGAGATATAATGCCTTGGGTTTGTCTTTATTCTGTGCTAGAGCACACGCCGTTTCACCACTCCTCAAATGGTATTTCCTCGTTTTCTTTCTCTCTTGATTCAACGTTGTTCACTCACTATTGGCCTTGGCTGTTAAAACTAATTATCTAAGGCGAGGGTGAGTGTGATTGTCGATTGTTTCTTCACTGAGACGCTCTTCCTTTCATTGATTAGAAAAAGTTATTTAATTGTATATCACGTTCAAAAACATGAACGCTAATTAATGCAGGGCGAGGTAATTGATTATCATGTTTTTAATTAACTTCCTTTGCGCCTCGAGTACTGCTGGTTATGAACCTTCATTTAATTTTCTCCTGTATTGAAAACTACTATTGGGCCATGAAGAGAACAATGAAGTCGAGAAAAAATTTTCTGTTGAAATTTCAAACAAAAATAATTCAATTCGGAGTTTCAAACTCTTTTTGTGGTTTTGTACGGACCACCCTATTGACTAAAACATGTTGAATTACCAAATATTTAAATTAAATTACGAGAGAAAAATTGAAAGGTAAATCAGAATAAAATAAAATCAAATGAACAGAATAAAATTTATTCAAATCAAATAAATCGGTTTATTAACGGTTTTATTCGCATCAAATAAATAGCTTGTTTAGTCATAAATGATATTATGTGTATGGATTATTTTTATTCCTCGTTCTTTCTCGTTATTCTATTATTTCAGGTTTTTCCCTGGACGTGTCCTTTCATTTTGTATACCTCTTCAATTATTTCTATGGTCATAATTTTTTTAATAAGCATTTATTCTGTAGGAAAGGTTGTATTTAACAATAACATTGTTTGAACGTGGGAGCGAATGGATTTATTAACATATAGCATCATTCCTTCATTATTTGAGATGAAGGTATTTATTTAGTAGAATGAACACTAATTCGATTGAATAAATATATGAGTTTATTAATTCCCAGCGGAAATATTGTTGGAATACAAAGGAAAAGCCCTAGTGTTTAGAATATATCCCTAATTTTCAGGAATACTTGAGATTATCTAGAATTACCTAAGAGAGTAGGGATTCAATCACTAAAATTTGAGGACAAATTCTCAAGATTTAGGATTTTTTCGGATTCTTATGATTATTTCGCTCTGAAGTCGCTCGATTCTGGGATTTCTCGTTCGTAAAATTTTAGAATCCATAAAAATAAACTTTTTTTCTCTTCGAATGAAAAAAAATAAAATCGAGTTTTATTTGATTCAAGCGCATCGTTCCTTTTTTTTATCATTCAAGGGTATCCTTAAACCCAGAAAATTCTCTCTGGTTCATAAATTCTCGAATTGATTATGTTCATGAATGAGAAGAGAGCTATAAAGCGGGGAACGATGTACAATTAGAAGTTCATACAAAAATGATGATGAATAGTCCAGGGAGGAGTCTTATTCCCCGAATTTTCGATCACATTCTCGAGCGCTTAATGATCATCAATCGTAAACTTCTGGAAGCCATTCACAAGCACTACCGAACTTCCCCTAACGTTTTCTCAGGCGATAAGAGGCCTGGCGCTCGTTCCGAAGTTGAAGAATTCTTTGAAAATTGTCGTGTAAGCTTATAAAAGGGCACCCAGATAAATTTCATTTCTCGATATCCCCCCCTCCCCCCTAGTGCCTAAATTATCCCTCTCTTCCAATCCTCGTCTCTCGTACGATCCCTCCCTCATTGTAATCGAAAAACGAAATTTCAATTTCATGCCGTTGATATCAGCCAGTTCCGGAAACTTTCGTAATTCGTTTAAAGTTCAATTTGGATTTAATTTTCACATCCGCTCTCCATTGTTGCATCAATTCATTAATAAGTAATTAACAATTTTACCGAAATCATTGCACAGGACCGATACACCAGAGTGGCAATGATGCTCGTCATCTATTGACGGCAAATAAATATTATTTCAGTGAATGTAATTCTGTAATAATTTTGAAATTGTGTCGACAGCATTTCAATTGTATTATATTACGCCTCGGGGAAAAGATTGATTTTTTATCTGATGTGTTAGGGAAGAGTATTCAAAGGTACTCAGTGTGGATTGCCATGAAAATAGCAGAAAAATTCTGAGGCAAAGTGAAATGGGACGAATGAAAATATGTTTTTGTCTCAAATATTTTTCTCAATTTCAAATTAAGGTCCGGAAATACAATTGCGCCCCCCGAGGGTCTAGATTGCACAGTAATTGTTCATTTGATTTTTTCCTTCGTGTATCCGCCCATGCTTACGTGGGGTCAAGGTCAATAGAGAAATTACGAAACGAACCAACGTGGAAATTTAGCGAAAATAACTCGGACAATTTATTTTTACAGCGCACTTGAGTATCAGTACATCAATCTTCTGTTTTCGGTGAAAATTGCGTTTCAATTTAATAAAATTTCCGAACACAAAAGAATTTTAATAAAAATTTTCGAAATAAGCATTTCGCAACACGAGTAATCAAAAAAATTGATAAAAAGCGTTCAAAAAAATGCTTTTGTGCTCCCCAAATGAACTCTCTCACCCCTTTTTCATTTGGAATATGGAAAAAGGTCCCTAACAATCGCGATTATCAAAGAGAAATTTTGGATAAATATTGAATCACGAAATCGAAACGCATGCGATTGAAATTTGTGTCAACAATTTCCCTCGAAATCACATCACCCCGACAATTCCCGTATCGCCGGATCGTAATTCCCCACTGAAACGGGAATGCACAATTCACTGCCACTTTGATGCAATTATTATGCGAAATGTATATTTATGAGTAATTATAAATCAATTATCCTCACTTTCTCGCCATAATCACCCTCAACTGCCACTGTAGACACGTATTTCCAACCGAGCTGATGTACCACTTCAACCATTGCCTGTGCCTGGAAATTATCCGGCGGCACGACTCGACTGAAATACTCGAAGCGACTCTTCTCCGAGAGCTCAGTGCTCGTAGACGCATAGCTCAATTGAGGTATCTGGAAAAAAGCGGAAAATATCATGAGAAGGAAAAAAATGCCTGAGGATAATGGATTCAGTGAAGTTGTTTCCAGAGACCGCTGCTATCCCCCCCGGGAAGAGACACAAATAAACAATTAAATCAACACGAGTGGTTGAAATGGTTACCAGAGGGAGACAAATTTTCTGCAATTAAAGACATTATTTTTAATTCGATCACACTTGAATTGATTCAACTTTGCAAGTGGTCTCATTGCAACGACAGGGTATTTAAAAGAAAAGTTTTCCCCCAGTAATTTTCAAGATATTACTAAAATTCTATTTCAAAGAATTTCTTAGACAGAATGAGGAATGAGACATTCGCATTAAATGAAACTCTTCACTTGAAAATTTTCCATTCATTTCAACAATGTTTTTATAAAAAACCAATAAATCCACATATTGATTCCAATTATTATTAGATCTTGATAAATTTGTTCTCAAAAAAACATTTGTTTACGCAAAAAAATTACTTATCCGATGTAAATGAAAATGCAAATGAAAAATCCGGTTCAATTTTGAATTATTAAATGGAATGAACCACATTATTCGATTCAAATTATGTTCACTCGATTCAAATCACCCATTCCTCTAGGTAATTGTATTTTATTATTTAAAATACTTGAAGAAATTTTACCCCCTTTTATTCATCATTCTTACATAATATGTGCTCTAAAGACTGGCCTTTCTTTGTGAAAACGAAATTTTCATTACCAACATCATCAACAAATCAAATAATAGAACAAAATAAGGAATTCTATTCAATTTTCCGCTCCGATAAAACCAAATCCCAAACAATGAATAAATCTCAGTGTAAAAATGGTTAAATACCAGTCAGTATTCCCCCTTAATTTTCTGAAATAGTCCCCAGCTCTGGAAATTCCCCCATTATCCCCCTCCCATAACTAACAGCCATAAATCTCTCTAACTCCTCAAACAAAGACTAATTCTTCTCAAATTAGGAACAAAAATGGAAACGATCCCCCATCGAAAAAAAATTAACGTAAACCCTAAAGTTGAAGCGAAGTACAAGGGGAAGTGGCCAAGAACAACTGGAGGTTCTCACAAAGGAATGGTCAGCATCGAGGAGCCATTTGGAAACACAGGAGGATGCGGATGGTGCTTAGTACCATAATACATGGCGCGAATGGGAACATAATACCTACATAAGTGAGATAGTGGAGTCAGACCGATAATAACAAGGGGGTGGGTCGGGGGGCGGGAAAGGGGGAGGAGGAGAAGGATGAAGAGGGAGGACAGGGTGCCAAGGGTAGGCTGCGTGCACTACGAGGGTTTTGTATCTGACAGGAGGATCTATACTTCAGTTTCCTCGGTTCTCCAGCTTGTTCACGGGAAACTAGATATCTCGATTTCCCGTTCCTGAGTTCTCTCTCTCTCTCTCTCTCTCTCTCTCTCTCTCTCTCTCTCTCTCTCTGTCTTGATTCGTATATATGCCCTCATGCCTGTCCATACACCCGCTCGAAATGAACACTAGAAATTGTCTCTATAGTTGTCTTCACACCCTCTCCACCCCCAGCCACTCTCCAAACGTATTTTCATCTCATCTCTTTCTCTCACCGCAATTCCCCACGAGTGGAGACGTGCGTGAAATACCACGTTTGGAATTGCAACGTGTAGCGGCAACGGAATATCAACCGCAAGTTTTCATTTCTTTGCATGCCTTGTTCCTGCAGACGGAAAATTAAATTCTGCTGGTGGCTACTGTGTTCCTTAATTCGATACGGATGTATTTCTCGGCCTTTGGAGACTGTCGTTCTTTCAATGGAAAAAATAAATTTCCCGTTTGATTAGTGGAAATAGTTTTGAGGGAGTGGGATTGGTGTAACTGAATGTAGTGTAAGGCAAACTGTTTGAGCAGTTTCTTGGGAATTCATTGAAAAGTTTGGGTAAGTGGCGATGTGGAGACTGGGGGTATGATCTGACTCTCAATTCGTCCATCCTTCGTGCTGGGTAGTCAGTCTTGATCGGGGAGAAAAAGAATTTGATTTTCAGGGACGTCATTCTTAATTTTTAGAGTGATGTCATTGATTTTCAGGAACCTATCTCTAATTTTTAGGAATCTCTCACTAAATTTCAGTCATGAAAATCACTGATTATTAGGATCGTTCTAGTCAATGGTCAGTGTCAACAATAATTAGTGATAGATTCCTGAAAGGCATTTAAGGCGTTCGTCTAATGTTCTCCGAAAATAAGTGACACAATCACTTGATTTTAGGCATTCTCTAAAAAATCAAGATTTTCTTCTCTGCAAATTCTCTGATTTCCCACTGCAGTTTCCCCGCGCATCTTGGCAAGAAATCTTGATTAAGAATTCAAGAATGCCCGTTCAATCTCAAGTGACCTCGGTCTATAAAGTCCGTATATGCTCAACGAGCCAGATCATAAACTTCGGAGAAGAAAGCATATCTCAAATGAGCACTGAATATTCAGAACTTGAAAATTCCCGAAGGAAAAATATAAATCTCGGCCATCCATTCAGCCATTCACTCTGCGACGAAAGAGACCAGCGAGACATCGGAAACAATTTCCAGCTGAAAATACTGATATTCACCTCACGTTCACGAGAAAATCAAACAATGCTGCGTATGCCCCGATGTTGACGAATGTGAGGGCACGGAAATGTTGCCCGGTCTTACATACAAAATATACTCTCCGAATGGATTTCTGTCTCACAAAAGTAGAATGCCCCTGAATTATGAAATAGTCCTGATAAATCGATTCAAGAGAGAGAGCCGGCATATTTATCTTCACCATCGGCAAAACAGTTTTATATAACAACCCGGAAACAGGATAAAGTGGAAAAGGGAGAGAAATATAAACGCGGCGAAAGAGGTGTTTGTGACTTCGTAAAAGGTATCCGCGTACGTTTCAGAGACAAACGAGATAAATCGAATGAGGGCGGGTTGCGTTATTTATCGTGATCGATACGGATATCGAGAGACGTATAAGACCCACTGGGGGACATGATATAGAGTGAACTAGCCAAAAGCCTCTGTGCAACACATTTGCGCAGGTGCATCCCCCAAATCCATTCCCTCTATTTCGCGAAACCCACTTTTAACCTTCCAATCCTCCGGCCTCTCCGCTCTTCTGTCTGGTCCTTCAGTCTACTCTATCCAAATAGAACGTGAGATAAACTTTAACAAGTTCGACTTTTATAAATATTCTGGTGAAGTTTCGCTTCGAGGAATGGAAAAGAGAAATTGGAGGGGGGTAAATGATTTAGCGGAGGAAGGAATGAGCGGTCGTGATGCATTTAAAGGACACCGATGAGTATCCGATGATTTAATCGATTTGTTCAATTAACCAGTCCATTCAATCGGAAAAAGCACGGGGTAATTTATTCACCGGTGCTTTCCAACTTTCATTACTCTAGTCCTTGGCAATCGACTTCATGTTTGCTCCAGTGGTTTATTGTGCTCCACTCCCTGTTATTGAGGTTTTCTTCAGCTTCTGGGTTTCAATAAATTAGGAATTTTGTAGAATGTATTTCCTCCAGTTTTATATGAAGTGATTGGCCTCATTCTTCAATTTTAACTCAATTAACATGAGACGTAATAATTCAGTAGCGAAGTGGTAAACCGGTTTAAGTCGACTTATCTCCGAGTTGAGTTTTTGAGGAATATTTCCGAATCTAAGGGAGATAGCGAAATTTTCGTAACTATATTTGTTGTAGCTCTCAATCGGCTCTACAAAAAAGGTTATAACAAAAATCTCGTTATTCCCTTAGATTCGGAAAAATTCCTCAAAAACTGAACTGGGAGATGAGTCAACTTAAACCGTTTTACCACTTCGCTACTGAATTAGAACTTCACGATTTAATGCGAAGATCGCCGTCATACGACACTAGTGCTTTTCAATTTTCATTACTCTAGTCCTTGGCAATCGACTTCTTGTTTGCTCCAGTGGTTTATTGTGCTCCACTCCCTGTTATTGAGATTTTCTTCAGCTTCTGGGTTTCAATAAATTAGGAATATTCTAGAATGTGAGTATTTTTTCCAGTTTTATATGAAGTAATTGGCCTCATTCTTCAATTTTAACTTAATTAACATGAGACAATGATTACAACTTTGTCATTTCCCTCCGCGAGACAAGTATTAACTTCAGTTTCAACGCAAGGATATCCAATTACTTTGCTATTTTTTCTCCAGTGAAATGCTTTTCTGCTTTTCCAGTCGAACATCAGAGCTTTCATTTGAGCCCAATTTGACCCTAGTTTCCGGACATTTTACAATGATTTTAGTATCTAACTTTGCAGCTCTGAATTTGAAGCTCGACATTGAACCCTTGAAAAACATTTTAAAAATCTGAAGAAAAATTAGAAAGTTTACTTTTGGAGGAACATTGATGAAATAATAAAAAAATTGCTTATAATTTTTCTTTCATTATTCTATCCCTTTGTAATCGACTTCACGTTTGCTTCAATGGTTTATTGTGCCCCACCCCTTGTTATTGACGTTTTCTTCAGCTTTTGGGTTTCAATAAATTAGAAATTTTGTTGAACCTAGAGTATTTCTCCTGGCTTTATGTGAACTAATTGGCCTCATTCTACACATTTACACGGTCAATTTGCCATCATTAATCAAACCTCGAGTCATGTGGGGGAAGATGAAACAAAGGAACAGGAGAAAATAGAAAATTTGAAATTAGCTGAGGTCAGCGTCACACTTTGGCCGATGCTTATCGATATTTGACACGTATTACTGGCTTTCCCGGGGGTTCGTGTCTGTGTGACGGCAACTTTGACAGGTTTGCTTGGAGTTGCAACAACGTCAAGTAAAATTCAGATTCCCTCTGACCCGTGAGACCAAAGTCTACTATTGAACTCGGACCAAGGAAGTTGCCGTTAGTGTTTCATGCATACCGATCACCTCAATCCTCCCGGAGTGTAAGCACTGAGGGTATTTGAGGGATAATCTTTGCCAAACGACTGGTCACGCTGTAGCAGTAGTTGCATATCTTAGGGTTTCCAAAGGGGGATTTTTAGAAGAAAATTCTAGTGAAGAGATTTATTCTAAGCCGGAATATTACGTGGATCTTTATAAATATTACGTTCTGATGATAAATGCGGTTTTATGCAAGACGAGGAAGGTTGAGAAAAAATTGTTTAGAAAAGCAAAATGCTATTTGATAAAAAATCCTCTGCGTTTTACGGAAATTTTTCGTTTTGTTAGGGGAAAAATGAAATTTAATGGACAGTTGACTACTGGTTGTGAGGACACTGACATTGAATTCGATTTATAGAGGGAGAAAATTAAAAAATTTTAGATTTCAGTGATTCATTCCCCATCTGAACGTCAACATAGAAGATCAGTGTTTGACGTTTTGCAATGGAGTGGAGGGTAAAATTATTTGGATAATTGTTCGGTTATTTCCGTTTGGTTGCATGGAAAGCTTAAAGGATAATTGTCTGTTAAAATGAATGAAGTTCTGGATTGAATATGGCTTTAAACCGCAAGAACATCGAGTGCTGCATTTCTGTCGATAGAAATTCAGATGGAATAATCCAACCAATGTTCCCTGTGCTCCAGAATTGCAGAAAGTTTTGAAGAGATAAGTTTTTCAATAAAATTTCAATCTGCAAAATTCGTTGCTGTGTAACAAAACTAGCGACAAATTTTCGACAATTTTGGAGCACGCGGGTTATTACGCCTGAAAATGTAAGAAACTCCAATTTTTCCAGTAGCAAGAAGACGATAATTTCCCAACTTACTTGAATTGTCCTGATTTCTATCAATTTTTATGTTAATGAATAATTGAACAAAATAATTGAACCAAAATTTATAGTTTCAATCGGTTTTTCCATGAAATTTTCAATTTTCAATAATAAAATCCCTTGGAATGTCCACGAAGTATCATATAACGGAAATTTCAGTCAATAATTTTAAACAGTGTACGAACACAGATTATTCATCTCCATGTAGAAAAATTTCGCGCACAAGTTTTGTAATTTTTCTCAATCCCTAAAAATTAATCATTCGATCTTCTTCTCTATTGTGATCTCGTTGCTTCCGATTTCTCTTCGCCTTCATTTTTATTCGCTAGCATGCCGCTATCAGATATCGATCACCTAATCCTCCCCTCTATTCTTGATCACTATTAAAATACCCATAATTTCACAAAAATGAGTATCCGCCTCTCGATAACTTAAAACTTGCGAATTGAAATGGCTTGCTCCCATTACGAAGCACCTGAGATCCTCAATTGTTACTCATTCATCGATGGAACTTTCCAAAGAGGCATTCTGCAATCACGAGCCAAGAGTCAATCAAGATTGAGCACGTATCTCCAAAACCTTTTGATGTTTGCGTCCGACCCGTTTGAAAAGTTCCTCTAAAAGACGGATGAATAATTTCAAAACGCAGCATTAGGGATTTTACTTACTTTGAAGAGTCTGAGAATGTTGGCCACCATTATCGATACCACACTGAAAGACGCTCCAATGACTCCTGTCACAGATTTGTGGGGTGTGTACTGGGGTGGCCGACCGTCTTCACATCTGTACTCCGACATATCCTGAGAGACAAGACATAAAAATGTGGTTTTAGATCAGGGGGGATAAAAATAGCGATGTTAAGCTTTTATGCCCGAGGGGTGAGTTTTCCTCAGGCAAATAGAATTTATATGATTCAGATATAGATTGCATTGAGAAGATTTATCGGCCCCTCCCATTGGAGAAACATCTATTGAAACCAGCCAGAGGTATACGATCGTACATTTTTTTACATTTTAATAAACTTCGGTGGAACTTCATAAATAAATCAATGCCCCGTCAATAGTCTCTCTGACTCACAATTTTTCATAAAAATCAAGATGAAATCTGAAATATCAATTAACGAATGCACAAAAAAAACTCGAGACAATTTTCACCAGCTCTGCGGGCGTGTTCGTACGCTCCGAAACAGCAATAAAATCCAATCCCCGCTGGCTATAAAAACCCCAAATATTCATCTGATTCGGAAAACCATCGCGATTTTTTTTTTTCGCCGCTGGGGAAATAAAAATAAAGGACTGAGAATGAAATTTTTATCACAGGGCCATATACCGGAGGCTTTTGTGCGCTGAGATAATTCCAACTATGTCTGGCATCCATAGACTGGAGCCGCAGGTCAACCACAATCGTATCCAATTCCAGGGAGTATCATTTAGCTTGACTCATCATTTAACCTGACCCAATGTAGTGCTCTATGCACAGTATGGAAAGATCTCCATTAATCTGTCGCCTGTTCCATGACGCGAAGCAGAATGAAAATGACTGGTACGTGAATTATGCCGAATTTCAAAGATGTTGAGGCTGTACATTGTGATTAACTCTGGGGGTCGACTCATTCGCTAATTATCACAGATCAATGGATAATCGATTTCATGGCCTCCAAGCGGCAATTAACCGGTTTAATCGCTAATCGACACTTTCAGTTCTCCGTGGGGGGGCACAGTGTGAAATGCCATTGGGCAGAGATGGCCAAAGGGGTTTGATAGATAGTGATAGTAACCCCTGGCGAAGGGACAATATCGATCTCCAACCTCCTCACTCGGCATGAGCCTTCAATATTACCCCGTCTGAGGTGCACCAAAAGAGAGTAAAGCAAACCACTTGGCGATTTACTCACGGTCAGAATTTTTTAAAATTCTCAACGCAAACCCGAGTACCAGGAAGATCATTGCAAGTGGTGAGTGATTGAAAGTGGCGCAGTAGCGCTATAGATTCTCGGAAAATACCTCCCTTTTCGTATAAATTCAAACCACCAAATGGGGATGGAGGATCATTAGTGAGTGGAATGCTGAGAGTGACTCACTCTGGGATTCATCTCCAATAATGTTAGTTTCTACATTCTGAAACGCTGTGGGTGTTGATTGAGCTAATAACGTAAGTCTGAAGTTGTTACTTCACATTCTGGATTTATACTCCGGGGAGTCGTTTCAAGTGCTCCGGGATTATTACGAAATTTTGCAGATTATGAGAGAGATTATTCGATTCTCTTTGACGCAGGGAAACTGACTTTGTAAGTAGATACATCAGGAGCCAATCGTATCGAGGGATTAGTACGGATATTGTGGGGAGGAAGATTGTTGGAATTTATATAATAATTTAAAAAAACAATTTTTGAATGTTAATGACATGTTGAGTTGTTAATGAAATGGGGTAAGTTTTTTTAGTGGAAAGTACAATTCCGTTTTTTGTGAAGAGTCTAGACTGACAAATTTGTTTCTGAGATATGAATATTTAAAAAAATGCCCAATTGTCTATTTTGCCCCGGTAATCCCTGAAATATTACAGAGGCGAAAACAAAATCCGTCACACGATTGTAAATTTTCCTCTGAGTTTTCTGGGTCAATTCCCAGAAATCCTTGATAAACCCCGAAATTTCAGGAAATTTTGTTATAAAAATAATAATCAGTGCACATCAAATTATTTTTGCTCAATCATTCAGTAAAAATTAGCAAACAATAAAAAAATGTATAATGTAAAACAGAAATGGAAGAGAAATTGTCAATTTTTCTTTGTGAAATGGAATTCTACCTGAAACTCCAAATCTTATAAACCGTTTTGTTCCTAAATCAAATTTAATATCACTCTTCTGGAAGATGCAAGCAATTTTTCCATTGAAGAATAATATCTTGAATTTTATAATTTCATTCCCTGATCTAGAATTTAAAATTCAAATTCCTTATATGAAATTATCGATGAAGTAGCCTTTATTGAACCTCATAATTCATATTTTATATTCAATTCCCCCTGAACCTCTCCTCGATTCGTAAAACGCAATTACCGTGAGAAAATGAATTCCCTTCTCCCATAAATTCTCGAAATATTCAAAACGACGATAGAAACCAGGATGAATAAGTTCAATCGGTTTAAGCCGATCGTTTCTACCTGATCATATCTTCGATAAAAAAATTCATCCGCGTTTTATCATCTCTCAGTATAAATCCTCTGATATTTTCATCCCCCTGGAACTCATTGAATTATGTAGAACCTGATTCCACATGGATACACTCAAAAATAACGCATCCCAGTTCGTTCTTTCTCGATCTATTATGAATTGCTACCGAAAATTGGTAGAGAAGACGATAATGGGCGAAAATGATGGGCGGGTGCTGAGTTTGTGCGGTTAGTCGCGTAAGATAAGCCCCCTCCACTGCCTATGAAGCCCTCGAAGCATTTGGTGCTGCGGGGGCGCCGCATCTTTGGAGATCCGAGCCGATCGATCATATTTCCCAGCCGTCTGCCGCACGCCAAACCATACCCCTACCTCCGCCCCCTTTCAGTCACCTCTTTTCCTTTTTTCCTCAAAAAAACTTATACACTTGAACTCACACGCACGAAGCAGTCGCTATTATGAAGTTGTCACATTTTGCAGACAGTCTTCATCGTAAAGTAACTCAGGCGTCACGCAAAGTATGGATAACATATGGATGCCTTTCCCATTATGTACATTGTTAAGTATTTCATCCAATTCCAATTTACGTGACAGTTACGTGACTATTTTCAACGTTGTGACTGTAAATTGCGTTTGAGATTAAATTGTACGTGAAATTCAAAATTTATTATTTATGGATAGTGAGTTATTTAATATTGAAGGAGCATTTTAGAGGATAAACGTGGAGGTTCGACATTAACATTGAAGAATGGCTTAAAATGTTTGAATTCTTTTCTTGCAATTAGCGAAATTTATTCAAATCACACACAGGAGGCAGTTGTGACATTTTGCAAACAGTCTTCATCGTAAAATAACTCAGCGGGACGCAAAGTATATAGATAACATATGGATGCCTCTCGCATTATGTACATTGTTAGGTATTTTATCGAATTCCAATTTACGTGACAGTTACGTGACTATTTTCAACGTTGTGACTGTAAATTGCGTTTGAGATTACATTGTACGTGAAATTTAAAATTTACTATTTATGGATAGTGAGTTATTAAATATTGAAGGAACATTTTAAAGCACGAATGTTGAGGTTCGAAATTGAAATTGAAGAATGAAATGTTCGAATTGCTTTCTTGAAATTCCCCAAATTCATTGTTGATGCGAATTGCACTTGAGATTAAATTATGCGTAATATTTAAAATTTATAATTTATGAATAGAAAATTTTAAAGCACAAAAGTTGAGGTTTAAAATTGAAATTGAAGAATGGCTTGAAATATTCGAATTTTTTTCTTGTAATTACCCAAATTCATTCAACTCACACAAAGAGCAGTCGCTATCATGAACTTGTTACATTTTACAGATAGTCGTCATCGTAAAGTAACTCAAGCGTGACGCAAACTATGGATGACATATGAGTGCCTTTCCCATTATGTACATTGTTAGATATTTTATTGAATTCCAATTTACCCGAGGGTTACGTGACTATTTTCAACGTTGTGTCTGTAAATTGCATGTGAGATTAAATTGTGCATGAAATGTATAATTTATTATGAACAGTGAGTTATTTAATATTGTAGGAACATTTTAAAGCACAAAGGCACAATTACCAAATTTTGATTGAATTGCAGACAGAAGACAATGTTCCCACCAATTTCCAGGAATCCTCAACCCCTAATCACCTAAAAAAAATTTACCTATTCAAAATCCACGAAAATACCACAAAGCCCTCTTACTAAATATACCAAGAGTTCCTCCTCAGAATGCCGCATCACTCCCCTGTTTACCCTACCATTATTCCCCCAGCGCCGACAAATCCACATGCTACACGAGCACATACGCCCCGCCATGATTGCGGTTTATCCGCCTATGGACCGAGAAGTGTTCAAGTACAATTGAGGGGTCGAGTGTATCGAACTGAATTCGAGTGAAAATTTCAGTGACCTATTTCTATTAAACTCATCAATAAACTTCCTCCCATGCCCCGAAAAATCTTCGCAGATTGCCGTCCACCAAGTGTACCCCGAACTGAAAAACAAATGTAGAAAAACTGTGGCGATGTGTGTACCGCTGAGTATAACCAATATCCTCGCGTAAGTAAGAACAAAAGTTTCCTCACGACACTTGGTAACAACTCGAAAAACCGTGGAGTGAAGTACGAGAGAAAGAAATTGAGGAATAATACCTCCGACAAACGCCAGTGTAAAAGTTTCTTCTTCACATCATAGACAAGTACATTTACTCGAGGGTGAAATAATATTTATCACGATAATAACAGCTGGGATGGTCCAACACTGAGGCAGTTGCCTCAGTTGCATCGTCGCATGCAGCCGTAGGTGGTAAAACTTTTTTCATTCTCGTTATCCTTCTATTTCCCTGCAGCCCCTTTCCCTTCCAATCCTCCTTGAGTGCACAAATGAATGCGAACTCACTCGTTGGGAAAAGTGTGACGCAGTCGGGAGTCCAGACACAACGTCTCTCGGTAAAAATTGTGAATAAACTAATCGGGTCAAAAGCGAGAGGAATAAAAGGAAGTTGAGAGTGTACACAGTTGGTGGAGTAAAAGTTACGTCGGTACACCATTTGTACATTTCAGTTTTCTCCCGAACAGTGTACATTTCCATGAATCAATATTTTCAAATCC